TCCTTCCTCCCCTCCTCATTCATCCATCTTCGCAATGCCTTCCTTCCCATCTTTCTTTCTTTCTTTCTTTCTTTCTTTCTTTCTTTCTTTCTTTCTTTCTTTCTTTCTTTCTTTCTTTCTTTCTTTCTTTCTTTCTCCTCCCTTCCTTCTCTTTCTTCTCTTCTCTATGCCTCATTTCCTCCTTCCCCTCCTCATTCCTCCATCTTCTTGATGGCTTCCTTCCTTCCTTCCTTCCTTCCTTCCTTCCTTCCTTCCTTCTTTCCTCCCTCCTCCCCTCCCTTCCCCTTCTACTCTTTTGGGAAAACAACATGCTGGCTGGGGGATGCTGGGTGTTGGGGTGGCCCAGGGGCTCCCTCACCGCCGTGCCCATCCTCTCCAAGGTCTCCTCGTTGATGGGGTACCGCAGCTTCATCTTGCGGTACAGGGGGTGCTTCTCGTAGTAGCTGACCAGGTCCAGGAGGCTCTCGAACTCCGCCGAGCTGCCCAGCGTGAACAGCCGTCCTTCCTGCTGGACTCGGCAGTGCTTGATCTTCCCCTCGGCCCTGGGGGGGGGACGGGACACAGGGGACACACAGAGGCCATCAGGGGGGAGGGTCCTAAAAACCACACTTAAGTCATGGAGGAGAAGCAGGGAGAGGGCAAGCCCCTTGAGGTAGAAACCGACGGCCGCCGAATGAAAGTGTTGCCAAAGCGAGGACTATCTACAACTTTGCTCCGGCCCTTCGGGGCCCTTCGGGGTGCATGGCCAGGCTCACCGGAAGGAGATGGCGTAGGAGTCGGCCTCGCTTCGCTTGCGCACCAGGAAGGCGCCGTCCCTGGGCACCCGCATGAGCATGTGCTCGGCCTGTAGGCGCGTCAGGTTGGCGTGGTACCACCTGCGTGAGGGGAGAGAAGAGGTGTGAGGACCCAGGGGTGGGATACAAAAGCAACAAAGTCACACAAACAGGTGAAGTCCCTTCAATTCCTTCCACTCGGCTTCAAAGCTCCAATTATCATTGACTAGAGAAAAAAAACTCCCCCACAAACAGTTGCGAAAAGGAAGAAATGCCGTTCAAACTCAACATACGTATAAATTATAAATAGGAAAAAACAACACAAACCACGCGGAAGCCATTAGTGAGACAAGGCAGGATAAGGGCTTGAAGACGTCCACAGATATCGAAATACACACGCTGGGAAGGAGGCCAGAACTCAGATAAAAACAGACAGACTAGAATTATTTTCACGCTTTGCTTCCAGCACTGGGCCATGCGCAGTTTGTCCTTTTAAACAGTCTTCCCAGCTGCAGCCCATGAAGGGAATCAGGGCCCTTTCCTCCCCCGTAGACCATGCCATTCACGTTTCTCCCTTATCCTCCCTTTGTGCCCTAGGATGGAGAGGGGATGGGCCTCTGAATGCCCAGCCGGCCTGTGCCCTTCCCCAGTTTCCTCCACAACCTCCAGAGCCGCCCTCCCCACTCCCTGTTAGCTGTTCCTCCTCTCCCTCGGAGTCAGATTCTAACAGGGTCATGACAAGAGGTGCCAATTCAGACACACAAACACACACACACGGGTGTCGAGACCGACAGGTGAGGGGCTCACAGATCTGCCAGGAAAGGCTTGCCACCGAACATCCAAGCTCTGCCTTGTCATCTTCTTTTAATGACCCCATAATCCCCATAATGGAGTCTGGGCAACTGGGAGCTAGCACAGCATTTACTGGCCAGATGCCTTTCCTATTGCCAATGCGGAGTTTTGTTCAGCAGATATATTCTCATTGTGACCAGAGAGAAATATCTGCCTCTCTCTTAGGATCGAACTCACAGCCTCTTTTTATTAAAAAAAATTAAATGTAAATTAACAACAAATTAATAAAAAAGGAAGGGAAGGGGGAAGGAAAGGGGAGGGATGAAGAAGGGAAGGGAAAGGGAGGGAAGGAGGAAGGGAAGGGAAGCAAAGAGAAGGGAAAGGGAGGGAAGGAGGAAGGGAAGGGAAGGAGGAAGGGAAGGAGGAAGGAAAGAGAAGGGAAGGGAAGGAGGAAGGGAAGGGGAGGGATGAAGAAGGGAAGGGAAATGGAGGGAAGGAGGAAGGGAAGGGATGAAGAAGGGAAGGGAAGGAGGAAGGGAAAGGAAGGGGTGAAGAAGGGAAGGAAAACAAGGGAAGGAGGAAGGGAAGGCTTCTCACTCCTTGCTTTCGTGGGCGTTGGGCTGCGGCACGGGGTCTGTCAGGCGCATCTCAAACTCGTTACAGCGCAGAGGCACCTCCCGGTAATGGCAGATGAGGCTGTAGAGGCTGTCAAAAACCAGGTTGTCGGTCAGGTAGAACTTGGTGGTGCCGGCTTCTTGCCGGGAGTGGATGCGGCAATGCTGGACCCGTCCGGAACGCCTGGAAAAAAACCGCGGCGGAGAAGAGGGAGCGGCTGGGGGTTCAAACGGTCATCGAGCCCAATCTCGGGGGGGGGGGGCAAAGGTTTGGGGGGGGGGCGACGTCTTACCAGAACGAGAGGGTGTAATCGCCCACGAACGTCTCGCTCTCGCGGACCAGGAACGTGCCATCTTTGCCCCCCGTCTCGGTGCAGTACTCGTGCAGCAGCCGCTCGGCAATCTGGCGCCCGTCACGGCCCCCGCCCAGCTTGCCATGGAACCACTTCTCACTGAAGTGCAGCTCGTTGTTGTTGAACTCCTGCGGAACTCCCCGAGACAAGAGGGAGCAACCGAGGAGAAGGAGACAGGGATGGGCAGGATTGAAACGGGGAGGGAGGAAGCGCAAGAGAGGGAGGGAGAGAGAGAGAGAGAGAGAAAGAGGGGGGGAGAGAGAAGGGAGGGAGAGAGAGAGAAAGAAAGAGAGAAAGGGATGGAGAGAGAAAGAGAGACAGGGAGGAAGAGAGGGAAAGAGAGGGAGGGAGGAAAAGAGA